TTTTGGCTCTTATGTGCAATTTCAGATATTCATTAAACCGGCCATTTGAATCAGTGGAGCTATGGAGGAGGTGAGACTCTAAATCCCACTTGATTCACTGGGTCTACTTTAGTATGGTTTGCTATTCTGAGCAAAAAGATTTTGGCTCTTATGTGCAATTTCAGATATTCATTAAACCCCAAAACATTCCTGCAGATTGTAAGGGGATGCAAATAACTGTAACCTGATGGAGGCTCCACGATACCTAACAGTGTGGCCTGTCCACTCATAGCTCATATATCAACCATATTTCCACAATACCACACACTCAACAACTTAGTGGTAAGGATGTCCAGGGGAGATCTTCAGCTTTATTGTGGGGCTGAGCTTTTCCTTTGGTGCCAACAGCTCAGTCTTCTATATGTCTTCCAATTTCCCCTTTCCTCAGTTTAAATTCTTACCATCTTTTTAACCCTTCAAGCGCTGAGTGGGATACAAAGGTTTCACTGTGTTTTTCTGTTGAGGGGTGAACCCTGACTCCCTGTAGTTGCTCTGGCATCCTACAAATACTCCTGATTTGGTTGGCTTTTGCGTATTTGTCTGAGGCAGTTTATGTCCTTAATCTGTAGTGTTTGTAGCAACAGAGCCAGTTCTAAAGAATGTGATACTTAAATTGTGCCTTTTATAAGATATATTTATTTAGAAAGAGATCAGGGAAAACTTGTTCTAGGTTTATACCAGTCCTTAGCTTTCCAAGTCTTCCATTTATTGTATGTATACACAAGCATTTAGAGTTTTTTGATTTATCTTTGTTTAGATTTATGTCAAGTAGATGCTTAGTTTATTAAAGATCAATGGACAGTGCTTAGTTTTGAAATTCCAGGCCTCTGATGAGTAAATAACATTAGCTACTATCTGTTTTTAATTTACTGTCTAGCGTGTGTTCAGATAAAATCTGTGGCATAACTCCATAGTAAGTAGTGAAAGCTGTGTAGATTAAAGTATGTCAGTTAGAAGCTATGCATCAGAAGTGATGCAAGTAGGATTTGTCAGTAAATTGATTATACAACTCTATTCAAAATCCCATCATGTTTTCAGGCCAGCTTTCTTTAGGAATCTGGTGGAGGGTAGGCTTCAAATGTTGGATTTTAGCATTTTGCCAAATGCCTTAGGATTTTTAAAAGATGTTTATATAGGCTTTGGATCTTTGGCTTGATTATTTCAAACTATTCCAACCCCACTAATTGATTACTTCAGTTTTTCCTTCTTTGTGATCTGACAAGGCATAATTTTGCATATAATTTAACAGATTGAAAACAGAATTCATAACCTAGAGGACTAGAGCAGATTGGATTTTTTAATTTTTATTTAGCACTCTGAGTAAGATTAGACCTTGCATTCTTACTCTGTCATAGCCTCTTCCTGCATCTGTGAAATGGCAAGCATTTATACAAGTGATCTAAATGAATAAAAATATTCATGTCTGGATCACGAAATAGAATGATGACAGGATTTCTTTTACTTCCCTTTATATGAGCATATATGCTGTCCTTCTTAAGGCACCGAAATTTTTGACTTGCCTTGTTATGGAGTTATGAGCTGGTCTTCAATACATATAGTTATGATGATGTTAGGTGTTGTCAAGTCACCTCCAGGAGTTATGAGCTGGTCTTCAATACATATATTATAGTTACAGTATAATGATGTTAGGTGTTGTCAAGTCACCTCCGACTTATGGCAACCGTTTGCTCTGTTCTCAGCAGCCCTGCTCAACTCTTGCCAATTCAAATCAGTGGTATCTTTAGGAAGTCAGTCCATCTTGTATTTGGTTTTCCTCAAATTTTCCCACCATTATTGTCTTTTCTCATGAATCCTGCCTTCTCACAATGTGCTCAAAGCATGATAGCCTTGGTTTCATCATGCTTACCTCCGGAGATAGTTCAGGATTGATTTGGTCTGCTCCAGAGATAGTTCAGGATTGATTTGGTCCAGAACCCACTTGCACTTCTTTTTGGCAATCCAGGGTCTCTGCAAAGCTTTCGTTTGGCATCATATTTCAGATACTGTAAATCAGTTTTTTCCCCTGTCAGTTTTCTTTACCGTCCAGCTTTCATACCCATACATAGTGATCAGGAACACAGTAGTGTTGATAGTGTTGGTCTTGGTCTCCAGTGACACATCCTTTGCTCTTGATCTTTTCTAAATCCTTCATTAGTTCCCTCCCAAATCTCAGTCTTCTTCTGATTTCTTGGCTGCAGTCTCCCTTTAAACAATGATTGAACCAAGGTACAGTGGTGCCTCGCTTAACGGGCGCTCCGTTTTACGACGAAATTGCATAACGAGGAAGTTTTTGCAATCGCAAAAGCGATCGTAAAACAATGATTCCTATGGGGGAATTTTGCTTTGCGATGGTCGGTTCCCTGCTTTGGGAACTGATTCTTGCAAAACGACGATTTCCTACAGCTGATCGGCGGTTTCAAAATGGCCACCGGGTTAAAAAATGGCTGCCTGCGGTTTTCTGGGACGGATTCCTCGCTGCACGGGCAGCGAAAATGGCCACGCTATGGAGGATCTTTGCTGGACTGTGAGTTTCAAGGCCATAGGAACGCATTAATCAGGTTTTAATGCGTTTCTATGGGCTTTTTAATTTTGCTTTACGATGTTTTCATTCTACAGCGATTTCGCTGGAACGAATTAACATCGTAATGCGAGACACCACTGTATACAAATTTTTTAACTATTTCAATTTCTTCGTTGTTACACTTACTTTGTGTAGTTCTTCAGCAGTCATGATTTTTGTGATATGATCTAACTATTTCAATTTCTTCGTTGTTACACTTAATTTGTGTAGTTCTTTAGCAGTCATGATTTTTTTATATATGATCTCGAGTGCCTCTTCCTTTTCAAAACCAGCTTGAATATCAAGAATTTCTCACTCTGTATAAGCTAAAATCCTTTGTTGCAACACCATGAGCATCATTTTGCTTGCATGGGAAATTAGAGCAATGGTCCTATAATTACTGTACTTCTTGGCATCCCTTTTCTTGGGGATTGCAATGTATATTGAAAATATCCAGTTTGTGGGCTGTTGTTTTGTTTTCCATATTAGTTGGCAGATTCTTGTTAAGATTTTGACAGATTCACTCTTTGTGGCTTGAAATAATTCTATCATTATCCCATCTAACCCTGGTGATTCATTTTTCCCTAGTGCTTTCAGAACAGCTTTCACTTCACTTTCTAGAAGTGCAGGTTCTTCATCATAGGATTCCTCTTCAAAGGAGTCTGTCTTCCTTATCACTTCTGTATAGGTGTTCTGTATATAGTTCTCACCTTATCTCTCTCTATCACTTCTGTATAGGTGTTCTGTATATACTGTAGTTCTCACCTTATCTCTTTTTTTTGTCCTGGTTGATAGTGTGTTTTCCTGTTGGTCATTTGGCATTCCTAATATAGGTTTACATTTCTGTTGATTTCTTATATCTTCTGGAAGAGGTCTCTTCCCCCCCCTCCATTTCTTTTCACTACTTATTATAATATTTTTCTTAAATGATGGTTGTTGAAAAACTGCACTCAGGGTTTCTGTCACCTTTTATTTTTGCTTCTTGCCTGTCCTGTACAATTTTAAGTGTTTTTCCATTGTTCATCTAGGGTTTTTTTTCTTTTTATTACAAGAATTGTCTTTTTGCATTCTTCCTTAATAAGATTTAATTCTTTAAAACCCCTCCTGTTTATGAATGTGGGATATTGTACTTCTGTATCCATGGTTCAAAATGCCAGGAAGTGGCTCCAGATTGCTGCACAATATTGTTCCTGTGTTGCCAGCAGGAAAAAGGATCCCAATCTTTACAGAGCAGCCTGAATGTTGATGGCACTGAAGTCAGCAGTCAATGTGGTCCACAGCAGTGGTTGCCAACCTTAGGTGTTCATGGACTGCAATCCTCAGAAGCCTTCACCACTTCCAGTGCTGGCTGTGTTTCTGGAAGTTGGACCAAGAACGCTGGGGTTACCCAAGATTGGGAATCACTTGTTTACAGGATAGCATCCGGAGTCCCCTACCATTTCTTGATTACTTTGTGGCTTCAAGCAATAAATACCAGAGAATTTGTTGAAAAACAACTCTAGCAATTGCTTTGTGTTTGAGTGATAAGTGATGAAAAAAAGGAGTCAGATTCTTGGGATTTTCCCCTGCTTGGTGCCTCTTTAGGAAGGTGCACATTCAAGAAGGGGATAGTAGGTTATAATGCAAAATTTAAAACAAGCAAAGGCATAAAAGAATAGTAGAACAATATAAAATATAAAACATCAGTTGACAACTTGAAATACTGCAACAACCCATCTGGCTTTGTCCACTTTGCTTATTGATTTAGGGTTCACTTAAGTCTTAAATTATCAACATTCATGTGCGTTTTGATATGGTGATGGCCTTGGCAGTTGTCTATGCTCAAGAATACACAAACACTTTCTCTTGTACATGTACAGGAGGCCTGTAGGTGGTTTTTTCACTATCGTATACCCTCTTTCTCACACAGGATAGTTGCCTACATGCACACATTACTCAGCACAGTCATATGTTCATGGATATGCTCACATTCTTGACCTTTTCTCCCTACATCCACCATGATGGGGTCATTCATGAAATATGCAATGGTTGCCACCTCATGATTGCATTTCCTGTCTCTGAATTAGTAGATGCTCCTGGCAGAAAAACTTCCAACAAGCTTTTATTCGTTCTTTCTTTTTGTTTGTGTCTTTACTTATGTGGTAATAAATAATGATTTTTTGGCTTCAGATTGTAGCATTCTCACATGTGAAAACAAATAAACAGACACACAGACAGACAGACAAAAAACAGTACTGAACATCTTTACACTTTACTTGAGAGTTGCAGAACAGGTTGGGAGGCCACTATTGTGATCACAGTTTTTTTCTTTCTTTCTAATAGTACATTTTAAATTAACAATTCTTACAATTTGCAATAGGTTTTAAAATGTTGCCATATGTAATACCTTTTTCTTTTAAAGTTTAAGTGTTGTGGCGGAGAAGATTTTAAAGATTGGTCTACTAATCAGTACCATGACTGCTCTGCCCCAGGACCACTGGCTTGTGGAGTTCCTTATACTTGTTGCATCATGAACAAGGTAAAAGAAATCTATTGTTTGGGATTAGTTTGTCAGTTTCCTGTTTGTTCCTGAAATTTTTAGCAAATGAATAGCTTTCCTATGGAAAGTTACAATTGCCACCCTCAGTGGTTATCTGCGCATGGCAGCAGGATACATTGTGCACATCCTGAAGTGTATTCCAGCTTGAGATGGATGTAAGAAATGGAAATTGAAGACAATATTTTGTAAATCTATATGCAGTGTCTCAGAAACAATTCTATAAATCTTGTGTCACAAACTACTTGTCATTAAAAAAACAAAACACAGATATTCAAATAATGGGTCCCCCCTGCACCTATACCCCCCACTGATACTTTTTGAATCAAATGTGGAATTAAATCTTTTCTGTTCTGACCAATTTGTAGAACAAAATATTTCCCTAATCGACTGCAATTAAGCAGCACACTTTCAATAAATGAAGTCATATCAATTTTAATAGGATAAAAAGCTTGACAACATTTCCAGTGAATTACAAATACATGTGTCATTGTGATTTGGTGGAAGACATGATGATGTATTTATGTAGTAATACTTTTTGTTTGAAGCACTATTTTTATTACTATGTAATTATGAGATAAATGTGCAGAGTTGATACAAATAACACTGGCAAAATACTGAAAATAGTGTTCTTTAAAAGTTAAAAAAGTATATGAAATGATACATATTATAAAAGTACACTCCTGGAAATCTGTCTTGTATTAATTTGTCTGAAAGATGCAACTCCAGCAGTCTTAAAATGAAGCAGGAGAAATAAATCTTTGTTGTTTGACATATGTTTCCAAACCAGCTTGGATTTGGATTTGAAACGTCCAGATGTGAACAGCAATTAATCAGTCACTTTGGTCGTGGAAAAGTACTGTTAACATATGAAGTCAGTGCATTTATATTTTGAACAAGTGTTGCGTATTATGCATGAACCACCAATTATATGTGATTATTACATTTCAGTGTAAATCTATATGACCTCTGCAAATTATTTCCAAACCTTTCCAAGCCCAGAGCAGTCAGTCTATGTGCTTAGCTTCCGGGGACATTTTGCAGTCCAAGCACAGTTTTTTGTCATCCTTAGTATTGGAATATAGTGTTGATTTCAGAGCTTTGGAAGTGATGTTTATACTGTAACAGGTTTGGTAAATTTCCCCCATAAAATGTTACTGGATCCTTGATGGGCATCTACCTCATCATGGGCAGGGAAGAGAAGGAGGAACAGAGAATGGGACTTGGTCCTTTGTTCTTTTCCACTCCTTGGCAGATTGGACACCACAGGACACGGATCTTGAAATGAAAAACTGGCAGCCCTGTGCGCTACCTTGAAAGATAGACCTTCCCATATCCAGCAGGTGTTTCAAATGTTTGTGCTATAAGGGCTAACTTTATGGATTTTTCCGGATGGGGCTCTCCTGTCCCTTTAAATTCCCCATTTATCATGATCTTACCACAGATTGCCCCAGCATCCAGATGACATTCCTCTTAGCTTGATTTGAGCCACTTCTTTTTCATGAATCTGTGGATCTTTTACATCACTTGGGTTTATTTTTAATATACTGGTTCATATCAAGTGGAGAAATTTAGAACTAAGGCATTTCCTAGCCTTAGTCATAATTCAGTTGCTAATTATACCCCCTCCCCCTGATACATATAGACATATTTCCAAGCTCTGAGTTTGTGGGATCACAAGATGGAATGGAAATGTTCAGTTGTGGTTTCCAGCCAGCAGCTGGAAGCTCCCCACCCATGCACCAACAAACGGAAGTAAAGGTTCCTTCAGAGGAATAAATATTACATGACTATAAGTTGGAAGGGCTTTGGGATCCTTGTTGCAGGGTTGCCTATGCACCCTACGTCCAGTGCTTCTTTTTTTTATCACTGGAGTGCCAACTATGGAAGGGGAGGCATATGGGGTTCTTCCTTTGAGGTCGGGAGTGGGTAGCTAGATTTTTGTCCAATTTATCCTTACATCTTAGTGCATTCTTGGGTGCGTGGAGGGTAGGAACTGGGCAAACTGAACACCTTCCTTGCCATCCGTAGGTCCTCTGTCACCACTGCTGTTGCCACAGTGAGCAGCCCGTCCAGCTTTATAATCTTAAATCAATATTTATTTTAACAACTTGTGAGATATGAGGATCCCAAAAAAAGCTAACTTACTTCCTCTGTCTGGAAACATCTAATATTGCACTCAAACTTACCATGGCTAGAATGCCATACACAGCTTTGCTGCTCAGTAAAAATACTTTTTTGTTTCTGTTTTTTGTTTTGGCCAGCTTTGGCAACAAACATTCTGCTGTTTGTTGCGGTATAACTTGGGTGCAAGAGATCCACCTATGGCAGTTGCTAATTGAGACACCATTCTTTTGTGACAACCACCTATATTCAGAACAGTTAACTTTCTTTAGAGTTTTAAATCTCTTTTGCTTGGAAGGGACATGTGTATTCGCTGCTTGAAAAAAGAAGAGGCCTATGAGACTGGTCACCCATCTTAATTCATTTTAGAAGGGAGAAGATGGCAGAGATACATGTTTGGCTGCCAGCTGTGTACATTATGTTTTTGTTTTTTTTGAAGTTGCACTGTTAAATATGGCCTGGGCTGACACTGCAGGGAAAGAACCTCAATTACCACTTTTTAAGTAGATCAACTATCTTCCCCACTGTCTTTCAACTTCACACGGAGGCTCCTTCAAATAAGCTACCTGTTTTAGGAAATGCAATGGCATCTCAGTACAACTGCTGAGGGAAGCCTAAATGCACATAGCCATGGCCAGCATGAGAACACAGGAAGCCATCTTGGGCTGATTCAGATGTCTTGTCCACCTAGTCCATCATGATCTACACCAATGTTTTTTAACCTTTTAAATAAACCCATGGCATCATTCAAGAATTGTAAACACCTTATGACCCCTCCCCCCCGATCTGCCTCCATGAATATATTTTTTTTAAATAGTACTGTGACTTTAATTGTGGGAAAGATCCTGAGGGGTGGGGATGGGTGGGTATCCTTCAGTTCACAGAGTAAACTGTAAGTATAACTGATTGTCTTTCAAACCAATTAGTCACTGAAGTCCTGGTCTTTTGCAGCGTCAGGTAGATGATGTCATCAGCTGTGGTATTATTTTTAGAACTAAAACATTCTGATCCTGGCCACCCACTCCTGTGGATCCCATGGAATCCCTTGGGATAAAGTCTTTAATTACTGGAAATGGCCACCGCTGGTAAAGTTGTCCCAGCAGTGGTGATTATTGATAAAGAATCCCCCCTCCCTTCCTGTGCCCCCAACCCCAGTAGCTTCCTGATAATGAAGGGGATTCCAGGGGGAGTCTCGGGACCTTCAGGGGAAAGGACATGTTTTAGTTCCAAACTGTGGTCCTAATGCTTGGCCATGGGTTGTTTCCAAGAGAAACAGTGGTAGTAAGAAACCTCGTTTGTGCTAGCCCTGTTTACTCTGATTTTTTATAACAGACTTAGCAGAAGAGGAGAGTGATTTCTCCCCCCCCCCCTTTTGGGTATTTGCTCATTTGAACTCTTTATCATTATGGTACCTTTATTAGACCAATCAAAGGACCAAAAGATTAAAATGTGTGTACTGGTAAAGGTATTACTGCTAAATATGGATCTTAGAAATTTCCTTGTAACTAACATGTCTACTTTAACTTTTGGAACTTTTCTTGCCACTGCGGATAGAAAATGCCTCCCATATGCGTGCGGAAATATTTTATCACAGAAACAACATTGGGACTTTCTAATGTATGTAGTGGTATTCTAATTTACATACTATTTTAACTTAGTTAAAATGATCGCATAAATATACAGTTTGTTATCCAAATATATATTTGTTATCCAAAATCTAAAAATAAACTAAATAAATCTTTTCCTGCTGTACTGTGTTCCTATTATGAAGTGTGTGTGTGTATGTTTACCTGCAGACGGCAGTTGTCAATACCATGTGTGGATATAAAACTATTAACGAAGAGGTAAGGCCATGTATTTATTTATTTGTTTATTTACTTTTCCAAATCCAGTTTAACTTTAAAAGACCTTCATTGTGAAGTTAGGTAATAGATTTGCACCATGTTTTTATTATTAAGCATTTCTGTCAAGAACAAGGAGGGGAAAACTGTTCCTCTGTTGCTGAGTTTGCTCCTGTCTTCCTCTTTTTATGCCTTTGTTTATACACAAAGAGCAGAACATGAATTACTGTACATACTTGAAAGACTAGCAGTCATCTTCCTTGCAAACAGATGTGATTGTTGTATGGAGCAGGGAGATTTTCTGTAAATAGACCTACTTGTCATTAAGCACCCAAAGAGCATGCTTATGAGAGGCAGTGTTCCTTGTGCTTTCTGTATATTAAGTTACAGCCTGTTCACTGAGGTGATGAATTGACTGAATTAAAACATGAATGAGGGACAGGATGGATTGCAAATATTCTTGAGAGTCCTACTCCAAGAGAAGCAAAAGTAGGCTTGCCATTTAGCAGTCTCCTCTCGCTCTTACTTGCATAAGCAGGACAACATTTGATAATACTAATAATAGCCTGAAAACAAGAGCAAATCACATTTCTCTTATCCCTTTGGGAATTAAAATTGAAACCAAATGCCACTAAGCAAAATATAAATGCAGCTTGAATTTTAAAGTTTATTTATATTAAAATAGATGCTTGTCAAACAGACCTCCATGGTTTTCTCAGGACACCTAACAGCGGAGAGTTAAAACACTTCTTAGCACTTGTCTGGACACCACTTTTGGTGTTATTATTGATAAATAACTTTGGAGCAACTGGTGTGGTCTAAACAGGTTGCTTTGGGGTCAGGTAGAGTTCTGGTATGCCATATGGTCTGCCCCTGTTCAGTCTGGCTCCTTCTGTTGGGCGTTTTCTGTATTGTGAAGCGGCTTAAGTAGACAGCCACTTCACAATATTGACAAGTTAAACACTTTTTCTGCTTCAGAGGTGCAGAGGAAGTGAAAAAATGTTTCTAGACTGTATTAGGGCAACATAGATGCGCTGTGTGACTTCTTTTAGAAAAAGAAAAGAAAATTTCCTCCCAGAAGCAGGATGAGAGGGCGAGAGAGATTTTTCTTCTTTTTGTTGAAACTAGTCTTAAAGGTTGAGTCAAGAACCTGCCTGCAGCTGAATTCACCTCTGTCAGTGCACTATGAAGTGTTTAATTTGCCACTGTCTTGAAGTGGCTGTCTCCTAAAGCCACTTCACTGTATGGAGGATTCCAAGTAGAAAGAAACTTGATAGCCCAAGCTCACTTTGGTTTGTGTCTAGTGATAACACGTTCTGGAAATGAGCCAAAGTGGAGTGATTGTACCTGCACCAAAAATGTAGAACCCCTTGATGGGAATGGTATGGTAGGAACATTCTGGGGACAGGCTGGTTTGCTCCAGCAATTACATTATATGATCACAAGAAAAAGGAACTAACCAGCTTGTCCCTGCAGTGGACTAAACAGCAGGCTAAATGCTTTTCTGCTCATACTCCTCACTCTCCATTCCACTGCATTTCTTTTAATTATACCCCTTTTCCATTGCATTTCTTCTTTGTGTCAGGTTGCAAGGCCTTTTTTCCCTTCATGTGTAGATATATACAGTCGTGCTTCGCTTAGCGATTGCTTTGTTTAACAATGAAATCGATTAGCAATGACTTTTTCGGAGCGATCTTGCGCTCCATTTAACGATGGTTCCTATGGGCGATTTTCGCATAGCGATGTTTGGGACCATGCTTCGCATAGCGATGACAGCTTGGGTCCTCCTGTTTCACTTGACGATGGTTTTGACAGCCTCATGTTGGCTGTTTTTTAAATGTTTAAAATGTTTAGAATGCTTGAAATCATAAGTGCACTTAATAAACTCTTTGTTAAACTAATTTGACTTTGTTCCGACTCTTTTTAAATTTGTTGTAATTTTTGCCCCATTGAGATGCATTGAATAGGTTTCAATGCATTTCAATTGGGGAACCGTGTTTCGCTTAGCAATGTTTTCTATGGCGATTTCCCCTTAAGGACGGCAATCCGTTCCCATTGGAATGGATTATCCGGTTTTCAATGCATTTCTATGGGAAACCGTGTTTCGCTTAGCGATGAAATAGCTTAACAGCGATTTTTTGGGAACCAATTATCATCGTTAAGCGAGGCACCACTGTATATCCTTTTATCTGTAGGCATTTTTCTCAATGTTATTTTGTACATGGCTTTGTGTTTATTATATTTCTTTTGACATGCACTGTAGCAGATTGTAGATTTCTAAGGCAAGATGTACATTCCTTTTGCAAGATGTCTCAGGAGGTGCAAAATAAATGTCTTCTAAAAGTAAAGACTAAGCTGGATTGGAGCTTTTCAGAGTAGAAGTTCCACAGTGAGTGTGCCACTGGAGAAAAACCTTACTCCTTAGTTCCCTAGACATCTTAGCAGAGCAAAAGCAAGTTTAGCAGCCAGATTCAGCTCATGGAAAGCAGAATGATTAGCAGAGCAAATATTCTCATTTGGAACAAAATCACATCCACACTTGTAAAATAAGAAAGCTAATGCTTATTAGAGAAATACATTGAGATAGAAGAGATAGCAGTAACTGTACATAAAACTAACTAAGAGGGAGATGCAGAGGGCCATGGCTCTTCCCTTACCTCTTGAGAATAAATGCAAGATGCCCTCTGTCCTGTCCCAGAGATTCAAGAAGGAAATGTAAGAAGCAAGGAAGTGGTGTCAGCAACACTTAATATTAGCAGTGAAGGTTGAAGAAAAGTCAGCATGAGTAAGAGAAGATATAGGACAGTATAGGAAACCTAAGGAGGTCTTTATCTATTCCCCATGCAAAGACATGCATCTTCAGTGTGAGCTGAGTTGCACCTGGTCACCTCCAACAAGTATGTCAAGGAGTTCAAAGTAAGCTTCCTCATAGACATTGTCAGTTTTAGGGGGAGACTCATACAGAATAGATTTTAAGTAGAGTATTAATCTTCCCAGGTGAAACCCTCAGGTATCTAGCAGTAATTTGATTGATTGATTGATTGATTGATTGATTGATTGATTGATTGATTGATTGATTGATTTGCTTTGATTTGATTTGATTTGATTTTTATCCCTAGACATATGTCTACTCAGGGCGGCTCACAATAAAATTATTCATAAAAACAATTAAAACAACGATTTACGTTGACAATATTAGTATTAATCAAGATGGGAAATATGAAACAAAAGATTAAGTAGAAAGTAAAAGTCAAGTATTGACAGTAGGGAAGGCCTGCCTAAACAGCCAAGTCTTTAATTGGCTCTTAAAAACACCCAGCGAGGGTGCCAGGTGGATCTCTGATGGCAGGTTATTCCAAAGTTGAGGGGCCAGCGAGGGTCCAAAGTTCTCTGTGCCAGGTATAGTGGTACTGTTAGCATTTGAGACAGGGTCCATGTTGCCTTAGTGGACATTCAGGCTGCATGTTAAAGCTTATGTTTATTATTTTACAGCGCTTAAGCGTTCAACACATTATATATGTGAGGGGATGCACAGACGCAGTACTCATTTGGTTTTTGGACAACTACGCCATCATGGCAGGTGTTCTGCTTGGTATATTGTTGCCACAGGTAAGATTAATTGATTGTACTACTGGGAAAAAGAGGGATTTAGAGCATTGCCTGCCTTGTTTCTTTATTTGATTTGTACGTTAAAGACAGCTATGTCATCCTTTTCCTCCTGGGTGTATGTTTTAGTTTACCATGGAGGAAAAGAAGGATGGCCATTTCTATGTTTCTTGTAGGCTAGAAGCATAGTTTGCAATAAAGCAGTGTAGATCTTTTTTTTTTGGGGGGGGGGGAACAACTGATTTCAGAACTCTCCAGGGCACTTGGTCCCAGTAGCCATGTTGTGTGAGGGATTCAGGAAATTGTAGTTCAAAAACACAAAGATGCACAGCTCTCATTTGCAAGATTGCGTTGCTTTATATAAAGGGGCCATCTGTTGGACTTGCTTAGCATTAAGGGATCAGGAATACATCTGCTGGGGCATTTGGTAGAAAACTGGAAGAGGAATGTCACATGGTTGTTGAAAATACACTTCCTATTTGCAGACTGTGAAATAATATTTGTTAAAAATGATGACATTGCTTGTGCCACGTTGGGTAACCAGGCTGTACGTAGAATGTTCTTGCTGTCAGTGAGGTCTGTTTGAGAGTTTTGCATGCTTTTGGTGTAGTGTCTTCAAATGGTGAACCTATCTTATTGTATTCAATACTGTGCATCTTTCCACTGTTTGGGCTTTGGTTGTTGGAAGCTTTTGTGTGATCACCATGGTTCTTCCTGAGTGAATCAATACTTCAGAATTGTCACATTTGGCTTGGAAAATATCATGCTTTTCTAGACATGCATAAAGTTTATGATAACCCCAGATTTTTGTTACAGATGGCACTAAAGTTCTTCCAGCTTGGGCCTGCAAAAATGCCCAAGCCTGGTCTAAATGTGGGTGATGTTTGTGCATCCCCATGTTGTCTTAGCCTCAGATTAAATGCCACGGCAGTATTAAAAATATGACAGCTTCTAAGAGCAGTTAGGTCTTTTCCTTGTGGCATTCTTGCAGCACACCAGAGAGAAGGAAGACAACTCTCTTTTCTTCTGTTTCTCTCATCAGCTTGCAGTGCCACCATAGTTCCCACTGTGCTGCCAATATGCCTGCTTTTAAGAGGAAGGCTTTGGAAGCATCACAAGGCTGGCTGGTGTGAAGTATTTTGGGGACCAGGGTGGTTAGGTGGGAGGGAGACTTCTAGAAGTTGGCATGGGTTTGAAAATGTCTGGCTATTTTTGATTCTTTGGGAAACAACTTGGCTTACATTCCAGCTTTTTCTGATTTGAACTGGAAGAGGCTTAGCCATCTCTAATCTACATCAAAGAACCTGAGTGATTCATTTACCAGAATGTGACTTGTTTATTCAAATAACCACCCCTTGGATTGTGTAGCAATTCACTGCTATCAAGTCCAACTTCTATCGCAGTCTTCCTGTGTTTCTCTAAACGGGAGTTTCTCGGTTTAAATAGCATTGGTCTGGGAGCCACATCTTACATTAACATGTGTAATTGGCCCTAAACTCTGGAATACAAAATACCTGTGACTCTCAGAAGCTTCAAGGACATGCATGTGTAAAATTGAGCACACAGGGAAGCAGGTTTCCAACGATATCAATTTCTAAGACTGCTAAGGGGACATGTGCCAAATGTTACTTGACTGAGCCAAATACTACTTGATTGAGCCATCCACACTTTGGTAAGCAGGGCTTGGAGATCCATGCCCAAGTACAAAATCAGAACTGTGTTTCATCCTTCATGTCTGAATGAGTATATGAATGAGAATGTCTGAGAACCAATGTATCATGTGTTCACTGTTGCTGCTTTATTTTACAGTTCTTTGGCGTGCTGTTAACATTTCTTTACATCTCCCGAGTCGAAGATATAATAGCTGAACACAAGCAGACACTACTTGGTGGAGGAAGACAGAAGACTGATATTGAGTTTACTGGAGCTGGGTGCTGTATGTGCTACCCTGAATAACGTCAAGTAATCCTCTGAGGAAGATGTATGACTACAAGCCGTTTGTATTGTGCCTTGAATGATGTCAACTGCTTGCACTTCCTGTGATCTGGAAAGAATAGTACATAGGAAACAAATGTCTTGGTTCTTTACAGACTTGTAGACATGATTTATTTAGAGTATTTCAGGCCTGAGCGCTGCTTAATATAGATCACTGGCTTTTATCTTGAAACGTGTACGAAATCTAAAACTCAAGCCATTTCCCTGTTTTTAGTAAATTGTGTAGTTAATTCAAGACAAAGATTATGATCTAACTCAATACAGTAATTATTGCAGAAAACTTTGAGAAGGGCTGTGTGGTTTATTTATCTTTGAAACCCTGCCACTAACAAGACAGAATTATTGTGATTTCAAGGTATCTTTCGGTCATTTCAGAATATTAGTGACTTACCAATGCCATGTGGTATATACACAAAACTGTTCTACAACTGGATCACTTCAGAATAATTACTCTACGTAGCTCTGTTTCATAAATACTATCAAAGCATACTTGCTGCTGTGTTTTTTTTACTAACTGGCTGATTTTTTTAAAAAATATGTGAGTTTCAAGAAAGTTCTACTTAATTATTTATTTTCATATTTTCACACCTTTGCTTCGCCACCTTGTAAGGCAAAGGTTGTAACAACAACTTTATGGTGTAATCAAGAGATATTTTGTGCAGGTGGAGTGGAAACCTATGTAAGTAATACACTACTTAATCTTTCTAGCTTTCCATATGGAGTTTTCTTCATACTGATTCTTAAGCAATGAAGTATTTTCATGTATTTTAAGGAAGTGATTTCTACTACCTGTGCAATCATGTTTTTATGCTGCATCTGATGGGTTACTGAAAACACTATGGAGGCCTTGATGAGTCTTTTGTGCCTTTCTAAGCAGAGCCATTGTCTGGCTTGAGTCAAGACAGGACTGCTTGCCTTGATGATGGGGTAGCTTAGAATGTCAATGGCCAGAACTCTGTTGGTGATTTACATGTGCCTGAGTGAAAAGGCATAGCTCACTGGTGTGAACAGGGATATGCCATTTAGAATTTAAAAAAAAAAATTAATTCCCAGAATTCTTCCAAGAGTTCCAGCCCAGAAATGGAAATCAGCACACCTGTAGATGCTTTCTGTCTCATAGAGAGGAGCTTTCCAGTGATTTACCTGCACCATTGGGCTCCAGGAGCCTTCCTGTTCTCATCTGGTTGATTTCAAAGAAACTAAGCTTCATGGGAGGCACCCTCTATAGACCCTAATGGATAGTGAAACTACACCTCCCAGGAAGCACTGCAACAGCTTCTTTCCTTTAGAAACAGCTCAACGGTGCAGTAAAGCATTAGAAAGCTCCGGGGGGGGGCTACAGATGTGGTGATTTTGTTTTCTGGGGTGTAATTTATTGAATTATTGGAGAATCCTGGGAATTGAAGTTGAAAAAATCTGAATGGCACATCCCTAGCGCTGCATTGCTGTCAACTAATAAGATGCTGATCGTATTACAAGGCACAGGTCTGTTGCACAATCATGTGTGAGCCTCATAACACAACTGGTGCCTCATTACATAGCAGCAGTTTGCTATGATGAGTTATGCATTGCTACTTTGCACATATAAATCACAAACAGATTATGGCCAAAGCATTACTGTAAAGTTTTTGTATGGTAGATAGATTTCTTATCACTGATTAATTAAGAGTCCTGGATGTGTTGTAATATATTTTTCTTGTGCTTTTTGTCTGCTAACTTGATTCCTGGTTTGTACAGATATGTCATTCAAAAACTGTTTTTATGAAAAATAAATTGTATGATTTTCTAAAAAAAAGCATATGCTTAATTTTTAAAATTAAAAACCATGTAAAACGATTGGGCATATATATATATATATATGTACACACACACACACACACACACGTTTTCAGCATAGCCATAGTAAAACTCAGCACAATGCACTGACAGGCCCTTTCTTGAAAGTTTGGAGGCATATAAAGTCTCTTGATGTAAGAGAAAAATACTGTTTTATAATTCTACACATACCACCTTTCAGGTATTTTATCCCTCCCTACCCATCACCCTGTCTTCCAAGATTAATTACAATTATTTTTTCCACTATAAGGGACAATCAATCAATCAATCAATCAATCAATCAATCAATCAATCAATCAATCAATCAATCAATCAATCAATCAATAAATCAATCAATAAATAAATAATGTAAATCCATAGTTACCTGAGAATCAAAAAACCAAAAGGACTAGTATGTTGTTTGTTTAAAAGATCTGTAAGCCATAGGCTACATTCTTCTCAAAGCAGTATACAACCAAACATAAACTCCAAAACACATATACACAAAAATAAAAGTAACAATAGTAAGAGCAAAACCATTAAAACAAGATAGCACCATACGTATAAATGTTCCAGTAGTGCCCTAACTCAGTATTGGCAAGGTGAACGGATAGCTTTTTAGGGCTGACTTGACAAACCCTGGGTCCTGGCAGAGTTCAACACGTTTGTGAATGGGCTAAAAAAGAAGGCACTGTCCTTCGTGTGGGTATACACGTAAGGCCTTTACTGCTGATATATTAAGAGTGGAGCCAAGTTGGTATAGGGAAAGATGGTCCTTCAAGTCACATGGACCCAAACTACTTGTAGCTTTTAAACAGCAGTATTTATAATGAAGAATTTAAGTTTAAATTGAGTCCAGAACTACGCTGGCAGGTTTTTCGGCATACCTGTTACATGATCTGACTCCAGACACCTCCCAGTATTTAAACAATTGTGTTTTATATCAGTTTACATTCCTGAAACAGCTTTGTAAGCAGTGCTTCTGTATGTTATTGTAATCCAACTTGGCTATAGGGTAACAGGTCAGAGTCATCCTTTCTCTATAGTGTTGTAAAAAAATACTCCAGGCCACCACAGGTACCTGAACATCCCTGGTACCACACACAGAATTTTCCAGATATGTGCTTGTTCCCTTGTTGTGGTCCATCCCATACACCAAACGAGGTAACGTTACCTTTTTAACCTTCAGCATGGTCCTCATAGACCCCCACATCACTCCAGTGACTGGGGGGTTCTTGGACCTACAGTCTAAACCATTGGTTCCCAACCTTGGGTAACCCAGTGTTGTTCTTGGACTGCAATTCCCTGAAGCCCTGGGCAGCACAGCTGGTGGTGAAGGCTTCTGGGAACTGCAATCCAAGAACACTGTAGGAAACTGCAGAGCTAAACAAATTTTCCAAGCTCTGCCCACAGAAAGGACAGGCTATAAGCTTTAATCTAGAGGAAAGGCTTTTCCTTCCCTGCAGTTACTTCTATCTTGTTTACATGATGCTTCAGTTTGTTTGTCTTCATCTGTTGTCAGAGACTTCCCTAGCTCTGAATCATGTCAGGTCTGGTTCATGTATCTATGTAAACTACTTGATTTCTGTCAGTTTGGCTACAGGGTTGATACACGAGAGCTGAAGATGTGAATTCACCTGAAGAGCACTGTGTTGCAGGTGAACTTGTGGGGGACTTGAAAGTTCTGTCTGCCGTGTTACATAGATGATGGCTTATTCATTTATACTGATGTCAGCAGTTAGGGGACAGGCACACAAAGACCAGCCTAAGCCGCCATGAGCCTTCTAAGTGCTTAACAAAAGGACCTGGACCTGGAAACAGGTTGACAGGAGCAGAAAAGCAAGGAAGAAGCACTACGTGATAACTACTGCTCAAGACATGTCTCACAAACAAAAGACACTGTCAATTGCCACATCTGCACTTACAAAGTAATTTGGCAAGGAAACCAGATGCCCAGGCATCCTGCCCTATTTTTCCCCCCAATTTTAGCCATTATGCATTAGTGAATTCGAGAGTTGATTGTTCAAGTAGAAGCAAGACATCTTGGCCAGCATTCTATCTGGATTCATAAGAGTAATCATGCAAGTGTTTCCCTGCTCTGGCAGGTAACCCGAGAGGTGACTAATCCCACAAACAGTTCCACAATCAGTATCACAAACACAGCAGGATGAGGCAAGCAAGGGGCAGGGGGAACACTTACACAATTATCTTTCCATGATTATGAAATGGATCAGAATGCTGTATTTTGTATTTAAATATTATGATATATAATCTCATATCTGCTGACCTCATTTAATTCATCTAGGCTTATTCCTTAGTAGAAATGTATGGGATTGCACTGTTTATAATTTAAAAGAATAAACTCATATTTAATGCAATCCTGTTCTTTTATTCTTGACTTCAACGGGAGCAGGGTGTCCCATTTTTGACAGATATTCAGCACAATTTTTTTTGGGTGGGTGGAGGGCAAAGTATTTTAATTTCATGAAGAAGGAAGGCAGGAATGTTCCACAGGAGTACTGTATAGTACTGTATACTGTATCCTCGTGGCTCTTTAAAATGACAGTCTGTTATTTCCAACGGTTTATTCTTAGGAGTTGAATGTAAGCAAAAAACAAAAACACGAGCATCAAAGAAAGGAGGGCCAGCTCATTCTCCCAGAAGCCCCAAGTGCTGTAATCAATTTTTTGCTCTTCCATGTAATACTCTCCAGGGACCCTATAAGGAAGAAAAAAGAACATGTGAGGGCGCCTCTTAAAAAAAGAAGAAAAAATTGAACTTTTAAAATAAAGGGAACTATTTTATGAGCAAGACACTGTTGTACTGTAGTAGTCTAGTTCTCAGCATAGAAGGTTGTGGCTAAGCAAAAAGAGACGATACTTACCTGTAATCCTGGTTCTTCAAGTGCTCATCTGTGAATTCAAACAATTGGGTTTTAGTGTGCCTGCGCAGAGAATCTCAGAAACCTCTAGAGCTTTTACACATGTCCGTTAGCACCTCCCTCCCATCACGTTTGCCTCGCCCATGGCACAGAGTGCCTCAGTTCTGAAGAACTCTCAGTCGCTGCCCAGCATGCAATAAGCATCCGTGATGGACAGAAGGGAGGATGGGCAGGAAGTGTGGATTCACAAATGACCACACGAAGAACCAGAGTTACAGGTAAGTAACCTTTTCTTCTTCATGGTCTCTGTGAATGCACACAGTTGGGGTGACTAGCAAGTTGACTTCCCAGGAGGTGGGACGCCACAACAAAGAAGAGGCAAGGACAGTGACCAAATGAGGCATCATCCTTGGCAATTACAGGCAGCAAAAATTGAAGGTGTTACCCGGGTGGCTGCTTTACAAATGTCAATCAAGTCAACTTCTCTAAGGAATGCCATGGATGTCACTACGGCTCCTGTAGAGTGTGCCCAAACTGGCCTGAGTAAAGGTTCACAGGCAAGGTCATACGCCAGGTGAATAGTAGACACAATCCATTTGGCAATGGTTTGAGAAGTGACTGAAGAACACTTAGAAGGGCCATGGCAACTGATGAAAAGTCTCTTTGAGTTCTGAAAGGAAGCAGAATGGGAGACATAAAATCCCAAGGCATGCCTAGCATCTAAGGAGTGTAGGGAGTGCTCTAGGTCATTAGCAGGTGATAGGAAGAATGTGGGCAGAACAATGGGTTGTCGTAAATGAAATTCAGACAGTACCTTAGGAAGGAATATGAGGACAGGGTATAGCATGACCTTGTCAGGATGGAATTGTAGAAAAGGTGGATCGACACAGAGAGTGGAGAGTTCACTGGCCCTGCGAGCTGAAGTGATGGGAGCCCAGAACGTTGTTTTAAAGGCCAAGAGTATTTCTGGTTCTGTTGCCAATGGTTCAAACGGTGGCTGTATTAGGTGGTTAAAGATGAGCTGGAGTGACCATAGAGGAGTAGGTGGTTTGCATGGAAGTTGAAAATACAGTGGTGCCTCACATAGCGAGGTTAATCCGTTCCGGATTAACCCTCACTATGTGAAAACATCGCTAAACGGATTGTAAAAACCCATTGGAACGCATTAAACATCGTTTAATGCATTCCAATGGGCCCTAAACTTACCATTCAGCGGAGTTTCCTCCCTCCTTTACTCACCGTTCAGCGAAGTTTCCTATGGCCGGCAGCCATTTTCGCGCCCTCGTTAAGCGAGGGGAGGGCGCAAAAATGCTGCACGCGGCCATTTTGGGGCTTCCGGTGGCCATTTTGTAACCACCAAACAGCTGATCCGCGGGCATCGCAAAGCGAAGATCGGTAAGCGAAACGCTTACTGATCGTCGCTATGCGAGTTTTTGCCATAGGGACCGACGCTATGCTTCCGCATTAGCGATCCCGAAAAAGGGATCGCTATGCGGATTCGTCGTTATAGGTTGCGCTCGTTAAGCGAGGCACCGCTGTAGTTTGAGTGTAGGATGTTTGAACAAGAATGTAGAGTCCGTGTTCTGAGGTTGATGGGCATCTATAGCCACAATATATACCTTTAGTGTAGAGTGCAAGAAGCCTTGCTTGAAAAGATGTAGAAGGAAGGCAAGAACAGTGTCTAGCATCGTTGAAGCGGAAGGTAAGTTATGCGATGATCTTGCTGTTTCCCTCAGTTTTTGAAGGTTATCAAAAAAGACCAAGGCCATCAAAAGGTAGATCTTAGATTCTGGACCATGCATAGAGTATCAAAATGGATGGGGAGTTGATTTAGAGATGGAGAAAGCTCCTGCCTAGCCAATACTGAAGGATGATCAGAACGGTCTTCAGGTGATAATGGATAATGTTAACCCTTTGTTTTATTTGGCTTGTGTAGGGGTACCTGGATGGCAAGTGACTCTGGAGATGGTCCTCGGTATGTTGTAGTGACTTTTAAAGAAGAGGACTGGACCTGAGATAAAGCATGGGTCTTAGATGGTTGGCTCAGTACTGAAGCCGCATGGTGTGGTCATTTTGCTGTTAATTGGTGAGTATCCTGATCTGGTGGGTCTCTTACGATTCTGAGGTGGTACTGGAGGTGGTGGAGGAGTGTGCCATCCACCTTCCGAAGATTGGTACGGAAGGACCTCAGCTGGTGTTCAGTATCAAGGAGAAGATGGTGATATGGAAGAAGAGTCTGAATGGCAGGCATAGGTATAATGGTGTCTACGGTACCGAGAGATTGTATGGCCTTGGGTATAGACTTCGGGCTCATAGTAAATTGGACTATCATAAAGCCACGCCTTCTTAAAGCGGCAATGTTGGTATGGCAATTCTTGAGCCATAGGTGTACAATACAGAGCACGAGATCGGTATCTCCGAAAGGTTTGGTGTGGTGAGTCTTATGGGTCCTCTTCCAAGGAGGATCTTCCCATATCAATTCTGAGACCAACACCGATGTATGGCCTGAAATGGACCCAACCTGAGATTGAGGGCTCACCTGCACCTAGTGCATAACTAGTGACCTCAGTTGAGGTATTCCCCCAGTCAGGAAAGTGACTGAACTGTGGGGAGGGCACGGTGGCAGGCAAAGGGAGAGGAGCATCCTCATCCCCAGACAATAAATCAAGGCACACTGTCTCCTGTTGAGCCTCTTCCATAGGCAGAGAAGGGGGAGCTGGTTTATCTGCAGTGTTTGGCCTTGTGAGAGTGTGATATTTTCTTTTTCATTCTAGGCGTCGGTACTGAGGCTGACTTCAGTGTCGATATGGTGGTGTGAGTTGAGGTGGATTTCGACACTGACGCCGAAGTCTTTGGTTTTGATGTCGGTTTAGCCTTTTTATTGGGTTGGGATGGTCTCAAGGTCGGAAAGGAATTTTGAGAGCTAGGTGAGGGCTCTGTGGTTTGGGCCTGGATAGGAGCCATGGTCGAGCGGTGAGGTGGTTGTAGGGATTTTCCCCAGAGGAAATATCTTAATCACTGGAGATGGATTTTAAACGTTGGTTTAGTCAGATTTTTACAGGCCTGGCACAACAAAGTTTGGTGTGTCTCACCTAAGCAGAATAGGCACTGAGAATGCCCATTGAGAAGAATTATTTTATTAGAGCAAGACTTGCACCACTTGAAAGGGACTGAGGAGGCCATAAAAAAGCAGAGGACCTGGGTGGAAAAAAGGCAGGAAAAAAGGTGGAAAAAAGGCAGGAAAAAGAGATTGTTCTCTTGTACCCTTATTTCTCTCTCTCTCTCTTTTCTTTTACTCACAAAATAGGTGAATGGAATTGGAGGAAGGTCCTGAAGATACTATCTGTATTTTCTTACAGAATAAACTGAAGCTCTGTAACTGAGGTACTGCTGTAGCGGTGGCAAAAAAGGAACTGAGGCGCTCTGTGCCATGGGTGGGGCAAACATGATGGGAGGGAGGTCCTAATGGACACGTGTAAAAGCTCTAGAAGTTTCCAAGTTTCTCTGCGCAGGCGCACTATAACCCAACTGCGTGAATTCACAGAGACCAGGAAGAAGAACAAGGGAGATATCCTCAGTATAGATTTCATCTGAAGATAAAGTCAGAAAGTAAGTAAAACAACAATGTGTGTTGGAGAGAAAGGCTAATAGGAAAAGTCAGATGGGAAGTGATCCATTTCCTGTGAACACTGTCACTGGTGAGACCTTGCTACCTCTTTCCTAACAGCTACCTACTGTTATTATTATTATTAGTTTTGGTTGTTCTGGGTTTTTCGGGCTCTTTGGCCGTGTTCTGAAGGTTGTTCTTCCTAACGTTTCGCCAGTCTCTGTGGCTGGCATCTTCAGAGGACAGCACTATTAGTTTTATTTATATGCCACATTTCTCGCAACAAGAAACCCAAAAAACAGAGACCATAGTAAAGTTTTTATTTAAAAAGAAAGGCAGGCGGTTAGTTGATCTCCATAGGAAAATAATAACCTTTTGGCTAACAACACAGCATGGTGATGTTAGGTCCTCTAGAGGCTGCAGAGCACGCATGGGCAACTTTCAGAGGTTCAGGAGCAGCATACACTCCCTTTTAGACATTGGAGGGCTGCATGGAGTCCTGCGTCCCTAAATCGTCTACACAAGAGGTAGCCAACCCCCGGTCCACGGCCCGGTGCCGTTCCGTGGCCTGAGCCGGACCGGGCTGCGGAGACAGACTCCCCCCCCCTGCACACACTCAGCCCCGCACAGCGGGGATTGCTGGTCTACACAAAATATATTTCTTTTTTTAAAAAAAGTTTTTTTAAAAAAGCACATTTTGCCCTCTAGAGGCCCAGGGGCTGAATCTGAACTGTTCTAAATGACTCTTAAAAAAAAAGAGTCCCCCTCAACCTAAAAAGTTTTGGGGAGGGGAGTGGCAAAATTGTCCCCCCAAGTCCCCTAGAGCAGTGGTCCCCAACCGTGGGCCTCCAGAAGTTCTTGGACTACAACTCCCTTGCTGGTCTACACAAAATATATTTCTTTCTTTTTTTAAAAAAACCAGTTTTTTTAAAAAAAGCACATTTTGCCCTCTAGTGGCCCAGGGGCTGAATCTGAACTGTTCTAAATGACTCTTTTTTTTTAACCTAAAAAGTTTTGGGGAGGGGAGTGGCAAAATTGTCCCCCATGTCCCCTAGACTAGAGAATATGAAGATACTTCTTCAGGGAAGTATGGGATGTCAACATGGCTCCCAATTCTGCAAACTAAAAATGCAACTGTTTTCATGCATCCCCCTCTGGAGGGCAACTGTTAATACATTTCTTCTTGATTTCAATAACAGTAAGACTAGCCAAAAAAACAACTCATTCATGAAAATAGCACAAGCTGTTAGTTTAGGCTGGCAGGATTGTTCAGTGAGTTGCAACAACTTAACCCTGGGTCAGGACTGCAGTCCCTCCCCATTGTAATTTGTAGGAGGAGAGCCAGCCTGTGTGGCCTTGGCCAAGCTACGTGCTCCCAGAATGGCCCCACTCGAAGAGTGCTATCTCTGAGTTCTCTAGGAAACCTTGATGGTATGTAATTATTATCTATTCTAATTTGCATGTCCATGGACAGTATGCCTTTGAATACAGTATATGTGGTGTGGTGGTGGTGTAATCAGAGGGAGAGAGGGAGAGGGAGAGAGATGCTTTTGCAGGATTTAATAGTTTGCAGTTCAAGCTTCTCTATAGCAGAAGTCTGATATGACAGAGCTAATAATGATCAAAGGATAAAGAGATAATGGAGGGGAGGATTGAAAACTACCACGACAAAAGTCGTATCTCCAGCCTAGGTTGAAAAAAAAATAATTCAGGCATCATGTGACTGAAGTCAGCAATGTGAGGATGCCATCCTGAAATAGTGGGGTTGAGGCACCCTGTGCTTGAACTATGAACAGCCGCCAGAAAATAATGCTACAAAAGTTCAGATTTTAAATAAGTTGTCCTGTGTTATCACAGAAACTCCAAAACCTGCCCTTAAGGTTGCAAATTAGGTTGTGACTCTCAAGGCACTGAGCAGTTTGCTGCACTGCAACAATGTGAGGATGCCATCCTGAAATAGTGGGGTTGAGGCACCCTGTGCTTGAACTATGAACAGCCGCCAGAAAATAATGCTACAAAAGTTCAGATTTTAAATAAGTTGTCCTGTGTTATCACAGAAACTCCAAAACCTGCCCTTAAGGTTGCAAATTAGGTTGTGACTCTCAAGGCACTGAGCAGTTTGCTGCACTGCAACCTTAAAGCCCCCAACCCCACCTGGGCAAAAAACATTATCTACTGTTGCTTTGCCCTTAACAGAGCCATTTAAAGGGCCTCTGAAGCTCAGCACCGCTGAGGGTGTACCAGGAGAAATCTGCAAATGGGATTTACTTCCTGCTCACTCCTATAGGCACCGCAGGGTGAAGCAGGATTAGGCCAATGGAGTCACAAGAAAGTGGCTGTTAAATTTTCCTTTATATTAGGGCATCTAGGTTTGGCTTCCCCCATAGAAGACTGGCTGATATTTATTTTGACTGGCGTTACTTTGGGCTACGGTCTAGAGATGGGAGTATTTGTATTTGTACAAGAATCGCCAGCAACAGAACAATGTGAAGGCTCTGTCTTTGCTCGCAGCAGCGGCGGAATCGTGAGTGGCCCATCCAGCCCCTGGGGGCCGGACCCTCGTTATCTCCACCTGCGTGTGTGGGGATATTCGTATTCCTACAAATACCCCCATCTCTACTACTGTTTCTTCTTCACACAATGTTTGTAGTTCTTTATGAGAGGACGTTTATCTACCTGGTAGTGTTCAAGAAGAATACTAGTCCTTTAAGTTCATTGATGGTTAGAGCCTGAAATAGAAACATGCTTTTTTACAAACACAGAACGATTGAAAAACCTATTGCCACGAAGACAGAGGAACCCCTCCATCATAGATGTCTGACTCTCTGTGTTTCGTTGTTTGGGACAACACTCCACCCCACCCCCCGTTGCCCATGTTTAGTCTTCTCTAAAGCAATGAGGAAACAGAAGGACAACTTAAGACAGAACAACATTATGGCAACCATTTTCCAAGGTTTTCCAGGTAGAGAATACTCAGAAAAGGGAGCAGCCAGAAGGACAACTTAAGACAGAACAACATTTTGCCCCTGAAAATGCAAGCTCCTAAGCCTTCCCCCCCCCGCCCTTCAGATAGCATAATTGCAGGGTGACTAGCTGAGTGAGTTACGTAGGTGGAAGTTTGATTTCCCCACTGTGCCTTCAGGGAGAAGAACCAGCCAATATGGCCTTGGGCAAGCTGCACAGTCCCAGGGCACCCCAGAGGAAGGGAATTGTAAACCATTTCTGAGTATTCTCTACCTGGAAAACCTTGGAAAATGGTTGCCATAAATCAGAATTACCTCAATGACATGTAACAACAACAACAACAACAACAACAACAACAACAACAACAACAACAATAATAATAATAATACAATGCAAGCAAGAAGAGTATATAAGCATAATCCTCTCCCTATTCTCTGATTCTTACCAGTTTTTTCCTGTTGGACATTCCTACACCAGATATATTTATATTCCTACAGAATGAAAAAAACACCACCCTCCATCTTTTGACAAGGCCATTACTTCCCACCAATAATCCTTTGCAAAATCACTCCCCCATAGTACAAATAAAATACCTATACTTCGGATTTGTGAAAAGATGTATACTTCAGATTGTTTGCTTTTACCTTCCTATTGGGTCTTTTACTCAAGGTTTGTAAAATTTATCCCTTTCCCTCCTAGGCAGGAACTATGACTCACATTCATGCCGTATCTGTAGATGCTGATCCATTTGATCCAGGACAACCAGTCCAGCATAGAATTGAGGTTTACAAGAAACCCACCAAAGACCTGCAGGATGCAATGGTATTGGCAAAAGAACAAACAAATACAGAAACAAAGAGAGTTAAAAGCCACATCAAGGACTTCTAATCACGTAGGTTTCCTTAGGCAACGTTGGGGACTTTGAGTCATCCTGATTGTGACAGGAAAAATAATTATCCTTAAATAACTGGCAACCTCAGCCTCCAAAAACTAAGAGCAGAGAATACTTTGGTAGTAAATATAGCAGATGCGGAACAAAAACAAGAAAAAAGAAATTAACTGAAAGCTGAATTTAACAGACATTATTCTAAAATCTCTTTCTGGCACATAGGCCCCCTTTGTGGCATCTTATACAACCTTTCCCAATGTGGTGCCCTCCAGATGTGTTTATTCTTTATTTACTTATTTGCATTATTTCTAGATAGCCGAACATAACTGTTTGGCCAAAATCCTGCTACTTAGTTACACGTATGGAAGGCAAATGTAACTCTCAGTGGCTTCTCATTGTTAATTAATAACTCCTTGCTCAGATATTCAGAGGAGTTCCAAATCAGTGGATTGGCCCTTATCACCAAATCCAAGCTGGGACTTGTTAATTGCCATCAAGCCACTTGAGTTACACTGTTTGCCTTCAACAAGTGTAACCATGCACCAAGATTTTGGCCCATGACTAAGCCATAGAGAAAAAAAAGCTAACTCGAACCCACAACACACAGTATCTGTAAATGTACAAGAAAGAACCAAGGCCTAGGAAATGCACGAGTAAAACAGATATATCTTCAGGAGCCATTTGAAACACACAACAAATGATGCCTCCGGTGCGATAGTGAGGAGGGCCTTCCAAAGTGCAGGTGCTACACCACAACAGAATAAGCTCACTTTTGAGTCTGCTGTATGAGAATCAACTGGCCAAGGCACCACTTGAGGGAAGGTATTCTTTCAGGCAGCCTGTTCCAGACAGTTTCAGGGTGATGTTGGACTACAAATCCCCTCGTCCCCACCCACTGTGCCCTCCCAGCTTCCACAGGACTGTTTTGAAATGTTAAAAAGAACACTTGCCATCATGAAGACATAGGGGAGGGCAATCAAGAGGTTGGCAACAGCAAAGGAGTTGACACTGGCACTAACTAAGAAGGCCAAGCTCACCGCTGCCAAGTTGGTCAAGCTTAGCGACAAAACATACAGGAAGAAAGATTCAGCATCGTGTTTGAGACCTGGAGATAGGGAAAAAGTAACAGTGTTGAAGGACACTCATCCAAGTCCTCACCCAGGAAGCCTCCTTCAAGTGGTTTTTGTCCTGCTGGCATCCATTTGAACTCTCCCGTTCACCGTTTACTTGATAAATTACCTCACAAGTTTCTGTTAGACCTGCTGTCCAGCAATTGCCCAAGAATAAATAAGACAGCAATTTATGTGAATGGTGTTTTAAAAAGTCCACTGCAGGTGTCAGAGGGAGAGAAGGAGGTAGATTGGGCCACAGGTGTGGGGAATTATTGTGGGTGTACCCGCCCCTCCCCTAACTCTATTGCTGGCCCAATCCAGATTGCTCTCTCTGAGACTACCGTTTTTAGTGTAATAAGGACTCCCACTGATGCTTATGAGAACACAAGAACAAAACTTGCAAATAGGCTAAGGCGTTACAGCTATTAAATGTACCGGGGAAGAAAACAAAATAGGTAAATAACATACTGCATATCCCACAAGAAAGCTTCAGTGTGTTGAGCATTGCTTCCGTATGGAGAAAAAACAAACAATTCACATAGTCAGAGAGAAAGGGACTCCCTATTTAGACGGCAAGAAATGCATAGCTGCCTTAATTTCACACTTCTTTCTCCACGTGTTTCCAGCAAAGAGTAGCACAAAAACGGCAGGGGGAAGAAAGCACTGGTAGATTACAGGCCAGTTTCCAGTCCCTGGTGATCACAGGCTTCTTAGAAAAGATGTTGGGAGTATGTGGGTCTTATTATTACATAAAAGGACTTTGTGTAAGAGATGAGCACGTGGATCAACTCTCACGCGTTAATTACACCTGAACAGAGTCCTCAATTAATTCATTCAAACAAACATTAAAAGCACTGGGGCACTATGAGGAGTCTAGCATGAAAGAAAAGTGTGCAGTTCAGCACTGTAATCTGTCCACTGTCAGAATATAAAAAAACAAACAATGATTCGTGACCAGCTTATTATGAATTTGGAGCAAGGACACATTTTTGTAACACTGAGTTCTGCCTTTCGAAACTTCTACTTCTGGCTTATATTGTGTCCCCTCTCAGAATCATAGAATAATGGAGTAGTCAATAAGGCCTCGGGGGCTAATCTCCTGGGTCCATGCAGGGATCCAAATCAAAGTATACATGGCTGTCTAATGTTCTCCAGAGTTTGGAAGAAAATTACTGTACAAGAAAAAGCAAAAAGTGTGCTGCTTCTATGCTGCCCCACAGCACTTAAAGCACTCTCTGGGCAGTTTACAATTTAATGATGCAGGCTTAACATTGCACACATGCACACACACACACACCCCCGGCCCCGTGAACTGGGTACTCAATTTGCTGATCTTGGAAGGCTGGAAGGCAGTGTCATTGTTGAGCTGGCTACTTGGGATTGAACCCGGGTTGTGAGCTGACATTTGTACTGCCAGGAGGATCTTGTGACAAAATAGCCTGTGACACATTACATTCTGTGATTACAAAAATATAATATTGTTTCTGCTGCAAAACCATGACTTGTACAGATCAGTATGCAACAAGTGTCATCTTGGAATATTTCTCAACTTGTGCCCATTTATCTCCAGAAGTCACGCCTTTTAATTAACTAAGCAAGAGGATTTTAGCCAAAAACTGTTAATGTCATGATTCCTCCCACGTGTAATATGCATTATTTACTGGCTGATTTTTCTCATGCAAGAAAGTAATAAGTAACAGAAGAGTAATAAGCAATACAACTAGTTGTGTGAACATACTTGCAAAGATAGACAGCAAAAAGCTACTCTTTGAGGCTTTGTCTTAAGTTACATAACAAGCCACTTTTGAAAAAAAAGTAATTTTCTAAGCTCTTCTGTTCATCATCATCATCATAGGCATCCTTCAGTCTCGAGAGACTATGGTAACATGCTCTGAATCGAGGAGTGTCCTCTCCAGAGCATGAAGCCCGGGTAAGGTAATATGGAGGATAGGCTGTTACCCAAGCAGCAGATCCCATATCCACTCATGGAAAAGGCTTCAGGAGTTAACCTCGAGGCAAAATCCGGAGCTGGAGTCCCGAAGGCAGCATGTGTCGTTCTGCCAACTCCTGCGACGTTGCTGGAACCAGTTGTATTGGCTCTTGCCTTTCCATTGGACCATTTCAGCTCTTCTGTTACCATCACAGAAATCTATGAAGCTTTAAGTGATTTGATAGGGCTGGTGTACACAGAGCCAGCACATATCAACAGAGCCTCCTTGCCTACAAATTGGTTTATGTTGAGTGACATGGTGTCAGAAAGTAATGTTTATCAATGATATTGATCAAGAAATGTATTAACAAAAGGCACATGGGATTTGTAGTTTGATCTCTTATACAAAGGTGAAACTTCTGAGTGAGAGGCTATTGAGAAACTGTTCTAGTAGTCTGGAAAATAATCAGTACTGTAACAGTTTCTTAATAGCCTCTCGCTTAGAAGTATCAGAGGCAAACAACCCTGTGCGTACACAGGAGTCTTGCGAATGTGATTATTTAAAATGGAGAAATGCCCTCAACTTCAATTCTATGCTGCACCAAAATGCATAAATCCATTCTCTTTACGCTTGCTTAAGACTGTTTTGCTGGATTGCCCCAATGCCTTCTTAGTCCAGCAACCTTTTTTCTCTCCAAGAACCACTAAGAATCCCATCAACCACTAGGTACCGGATGATCATGTGGACACTCCTCTACCATGATCTTCCTTCTCCCCATACAGTCATAAACTGGTGTAGGAATGTTTTGTAGGTTCAGGAACAAATTTTTGACTTCTGGGGCTCTTTGTATGAGTGCAATACCTCTGAAGAATAAAACACTATCCTCTAAAAAAGATACCGAAAGGGCAAAATAAGGTGCAAAGCACACATGGTGACACAGTGGTTAAACACATAAGCCTCTGTTCATAACCTGAGTTCGAACCCAATGGATTCAGGTAGCTGGCTCAACACAGATTCACTTTTCTTCCCTTCTAAGGTCAGTAAAGTGAGTAGTTTGCTGGCAAAATTGTTGTTTGCATTATTACGTTGTAAACAACTCACAGAGTGCTCTAGCTCCATAGGTTGCATAGAAGTCAAAACAACAAACAAGATTGTTTAAAAGGAGCATCATTGCTCTCTCTCTCTCTCTTTTCCTGAGGTGGAGTTCCAGGGGATTGGGAGGTGCAGCACAGCCCTCAGTCAGTATCCACATGTTCTGAATATCTGCTGTAAACTTGCATTTTTTGGTATTTTATTTTCAAATTGTGAATACAAGTAAAAGACTTGGGCCTAAAGAAATGTTTCAGATTTCCCACCATCACCTCTCATCACCCTCAATGGATCATTACAAGCGCCTCACCCATCATGAAATATGAAATGGAAGAAAACAGCAGCGTAGGCACAATCCGATTCGGGAGAAGATCAGCAAACACTTTAGCTAGGAAATATGCCGAGGTCCTGTAGTAACTCCTGGCACTCTCATGCCTAAGAAAAGAAAAGGGGGAAACTGTCACTGAACCAAGTCAATTGTGGCAGATGTTTAGAAAAGCAAGTTTTTCAGAACTGAAGACTACAGTAAGAGAAATTAGATTCCCTTGCCTGATCAAATACAGAGCAGTCTGGCAATGGAAGCAGCTCTCCCTTCCACCCTACCCCCTGTGCAGGGAGGTGCAAGGAATTCACATTGGTGAGCTTTGTAAGAGGACTTCCCCTGTACCAGGACTGAACATGAACTAATTATATATATTCTGGAACTTGTGGGTCACCAGATTTCTTCAGAGGCCTCTGATAAAATGGTTGAAATGCTGTTGCTTAGGCTCACTGAATCAAGGGATTTGGTGAGCCTGCTCCTCCATAAATTCCATTCATTCAAATACGCCTAGTTTAATTGCAACTAGAGTAGACCTATGTGAATCAATGGAAGTAATGAAGAGTTGACTTTGCAAATCCTCTCTGATTCATTGGATCTACTTTACTATGAGCTACTTGCACTAAGAAACAGGATTCCAACCATTATTTCTTCTGTTCTAAAATCAGCACAAGGGGCCCACTACAGACCCTAACAAATCTACGTGTCCTTCTGCATCAGGACCGAATCCTCGAGGAGACACTTATCAGGCTCATCTGGAAGAAAACAAACTTGGTGAGGGATGATTGTAATAACGACTGTCCTATCACCAATGTTCCTTTTTTGAGCAAGCTAGTGGAGAGGGTGGTGGCCAACCAGCTTCAGGCACTCTTGGATGAAAACAGTGCCCCCACCAATATGCTGATGACATGCAACTCTATCTCTCCTTCCACCCTTCTGCAGTGGATGATGTCCCTGTCCCTTGAGTGCTGCCTGGCTGCAGTACTGTAGTGGATGGAGGCTGAGGCCGAATCCAGACAAGACGGAGGTCCTTCAGGTGGGTGCTTTAGCTGTCTATGGATTGGGTTCCTTCTTTGCCTTTGTGGATGCTACTCTCTCTATGAAGGAAGAGGTTTGTAGTTTGGGTGTCCTAGTGGACCCAACCATGTCAATAGTGTCTGTGGTCTGGTCTGCCTATTTCCACCTCAGGCAGATTGCCCGGCTGCATCCCTACCTTGACACTGGGTCCTTCACCATGGTAGTCTCAAGATTAGACTACTGCAACGCTCTCTGCATGGGGCTGCCTATAAAGTTGTCATGGAAACTTCAACAGGTCCAGACTATGGCAGCCAGGTTACTGAGTGGATAAATATCAACGTAACATCCCAATTTTGGCCGCTTTACATTGGTTACCTGTTCGTTTCAGTGCCAGCTTCAAGGTGATGATTTAACCTATAAAGCCCTAAACGATTTGGGGCCTCAATAACTGGCAGAATGTCTACTTCCAACAGGATCTGCCCATCTTACAAGAACACCCCAAGCAGGCTGGCTGAGGATGCTGACCCCGAGAGAGGTCAGAAGATGAGAAACTGGGCCTTCTCCTTGACTGTGGAATGAACTTCCTCCTGCAATTCATCTGGTGGTTTTTGAAAAAGTCATCAAAGACCCTGTTATTTAGGTAGGCGTTCCAAAATATTACATCTGTGGACCCAGCTGAATTTGTTTAGCTTCAATTTGACTAATCCCACCATTTCAAATGTTTCTATACAACTGTATTTTAATGCACTTCGGTTGCACTGTTTTTGTATTATTTTATTTTTGGTTTTGTCAAATTGGTACTTTAATTACACTGTTGTGTGTTCTGTTGTAAAACACTCAAGAGTGCTCCTTGGCCAGATCAGCAGTAAAAAAATTAAACAAACAAACAAATCTTGGCAGGGATCTCAAAGAGGAGCAGGCCTGAAGAGCAAATGGTTACAACTCCTCTTCCAACCCATCCATTCCTGCATGTGAAGCCTGGACAATTTGTCCTGTCTCATTCGAGATGTTATGGTTATTTCGTGCTATTACACAGTACAATGCTGTATTATATTTGATTCTGGATGGAAAGCTTGCAAGGTTGTGCCAATAGGCCGCCTTGTCAGCATGAGATTCTGCAGATACAGTGTTCTGGAGAGGCTATTGTGCCGCTCATATCCAGTACATTCAAATTAGGTTTTCCTGAAACAGAACAGTTGCTCACATGAAGAGTTTCCTGTCATAGATGAAGAGATCCACAGCAGACAGGTTCCCGAAGATCTGAGTAAGCACCATGAAGAAGAAAGCTCCTAACCTGCAGCCAAGAGAACAAATCTATCAGAAAGGGATTATATTTGTCTTTCTGAGTGCTGAAAATATATAGACTATGATATCTGTTTTTTTCCCAAATGGCCCCCACGCCCCAGCTGCTTTTGTAGGCCAAGACAAAAGACAGCCCTATAGCACCTGGAGGAGCTGATTATAGTATGAGCTTTCATGGACTATAACATCATCAGAAGTACGGAATGATGTTCAGAACTTCAGGTATGGGCATAGTAGGCTTAATTAGCAGAAACACCTTGGGCATTTGACCAAGTGGGCTACAGTTCATAAACGTTTATGCTAAAATAAATCTATTAGCTTTTAAGGTCCCACAGAATTCTTTGTTGTTGTCTGCTGCGACAGATGAACACAGCTGCACACTAGATTTTTTTAAGGCTGCCAAGGCGCGGCCCTCAGGCATGTTGTGGGTCTCAGCTATCCAAGAATTCTGTTTACACCCTATCCCTTGTAACTAGACGAGAAGAGGCCGAAGTTACACCAAACAGACCTACATCACCTAGTGATTTCATCCAGCAGATGCCACAGGGAGAGATCATAATGAGCTACCATTTGGTTTTTATGTTCTTCATCTGGATCAGAATGCAACAGGACTTGGGTCAGCTCTGTGCAATTGCAAATGTTGACAAGGATGAACAATTTCCTCATCACTCTCACTGCCCCAGAGTAGGTGTTCGGATGTTCAACTGGAGCCACACGGTGCATTCTGTGCTTGGGTGGCTGTTGTTTTCTCCTTCAGTGACTGAACACACTGAGCAGCAGCAATGTCACTGCTCAATACATGGCACTGTTCAAATCTGAGAAGAGTCAGGTGTTCCCTGATGTGTTTGCCCAGCTGGTGTGAGTGCCTTCGATAATGTGTGTAATGCTGGCAGGGTGTTCAAACAAGGCACAAAAGAAATTAGCAATAGCAGCACTGGTCACACAAATATAAATGAACTCTAAAGTCCTCTTTTACCTATTCTGTAGGGCTTCTGGTAGAGTGTCAGGTATTTGGTAGTAAATGAGCCCGACCAACAAGGAGAGGATGATGCCCATAATCAGCTGTCCGATCGAGGTCTGAGGGTTCCTCACAAGCTGCTTCACATTACGACAGCTCACAATGTACAGCTAGAAAACACTGGTGGTTAAATCGCTTGCTATGATAGACTCCAGGACATAAGACTATTTTCTTTTATTATATATTATTTGCCACTCTTTTTCACCTTACATGGAGCAGATTTTTTCCCCGATAGAGTTGTCAATGGAAAAGAGACACAACAATGCTTTCCTCCCCACCTCATCCCTTGGTGAACTGAACTATATTCATCCATTTGGACAACTTTATATACGTTATTTCCGTCTTGCCTCAGAAAACCTCCAACAAGAAAGGAACATCAAAAGGAATAACATGGAAATGTAATTTTTATCTATGATCATGTCTACCTCCCTGAAAGGTGGTGTTACATGTTTAAGACAACTATCTGAGAAAAACTAGGTTTTCATGTGTATTGCAAAAAACACAGCGCATTGCATATTGCACATGTGATTGTTATAATCTGAGTAATCTCATGCCAATTTGCATGGTAGAGACAGCTCTTTATACATAGTCTAACATAAATCAGAATCACTGTTGCATACAGAGTATCTGTTTTGCATATAACAGATAAACAGAGCAATTCCAACTCCCTGCTGGAGACTGAGGCAGGAACTACACATCTCAGATAACCTGCAGTAAGATTTTTTTTAAAAAAAATACAGGTTACCTGAAAGCAGGTGTGAAACCACCTGTTTCACATGTCTCGCTTTAATGCAAACCTTTGCATTAAAACAGGATAGCTGTGAATATTCTCAGTCATCCAGGTGTGGTTATCTGAAAGTTGAATCATGGCAACTGGACTTCTTTCTTATTAGCCTGAAACATTTCACTACTCATCCAAGTAGCTTCTTCAGTCTGAGGAGAGTTGGTAGGAGACCCCTGATGTATCCTCCACTTTGGTTTCATTTCCCCCTCCTAGTCTGAATAGTTTTTTTCAGCCACCCCCACCCCCGGCATCCTTTGTCCATCTAATGAGCCTATTCAGACCAGGGGGAAATGAATCCAATGTGTAGGATATACCAGGGGTCTCCTACCAACTCTCCTCAGACTGAAGAAGCTACTTGGATGAGTAGCAAAAGGTTTCAACCTAATAAGAAAGAAGTCCAGTTGCCATGACTCAGCTTCCAGATTAAAACAGGATGTGGGTCAGTCCCCAGCCCTCAAGCTGGCCAGTGCTAGGAGGCTCCCCATTGCCCTTGATAGGGCTAGGGTCAGGGAGGTCTTGCTCACACGCCCTGTGGGAGGGAAAAGGAGCAGCTGGATCCTCCCTGCCTGTTTTCTTTTTTCACTCTAAGAGATAGCATCCTGTGGCCACCGAATAAATTCAGTATTAAACTGGGAAGTGTAGGATTTCCCTTCACCACTTAGGGGTATTATCCCCATTACTCTTTCCCATCTTCTGCAAACACTGGAATTTAGCCAAGTCTAATGATACTTCCTTCTTCTGTCAGACTGCTGGTGTAATTTTGGCTACATAATCAAATGCACTGACAGCAAACCTGTGAGGATCTTTGATTATGCAACAAAACTAGAAGGAATTATGTATGGCTTATTTATGGATTCATACGGTTTCTTCACCCAGCACCTGACTGTCATTCCTAACACCTTCCTCTTCACCTGGTGGACGAACGAAGTAACATAAGTGGGTTTTGGTGAAGTAGCATCAGAGCAATAGTTAGGAAATGTCTGTAGGCTGTTGAGATCCTCTTGCAGCTGTTCATAGTAGGAGGACTGGCGGTAATAGTTGGACAGTGAGTTCTTTTCCAAAGAACAGTTGCTGGAGAAACGGCAATCTTTCTTGTTGCCTGTTTTAAATAAGAGGAGAATTTAAATACACAAACATATAAAGAGAGACCTTCTTCCTCTCTACAAGCAATATTAACCAATCCACGGACTGGTCCAATACTCTGTGCTTTAGTATACCAGGGCCATTCTGCTCGTTTTTTAAAAAAGCAAAACACAACTGGATTTCTGTTTTGGCATTGGTTAAGATAATAACGACAGATTGTGTGAATCCAGACTAAATGGTACTATTTTTAATGAGTTAAAGTGAGAGGCCTTGGCTATGCATGTTACAACAACCGAAACATGTGTCAAAGTGATGGAAGCTCAAAGCTGCCCTTTTGCCATCCCTTCTTTGAAGAGGCAGCACTGCTTTCTACGTTGTAAGGATGCACTGCCTGCCCTGGAATCGAGGACAAGGTCATAGGTCCATGTGTGTAAGAGGGAAAGGTGTAGAGAATGAGTGGGGTATAAAGATACACTGCCTTTCAGCTTGCAATTCATCACATGTCTCACAATTCCAGAATAAGACGTACTGCACTCAGAGGTAATTACTTCTGAGAAGACACATAGAGGATTGCACCATTACAGTGGGGTCTCAACTTAAGAACTTAATCCGTATTGGAAGGTGGTTCGTAGGTCGGAAAGTTCGTAGGCTGAATCTGCATTTCCCATAGGAATGCATTGAAAACCATTTAATCCGTATCTGCTCTTTTCCATCCATAGAAACTAATGGGAAGCTGCTATCCCGCCTTCTGCCACTAGAGGGGGATATTTTTTCTTTTTTCCCCCTTAGGTTCAGGAAAGGAGGGGGAAGACAGGGAACAGTTTGCAAAGCACTTTAGATATCTATTTTTTTTCAACGAAGCCAATTTTCTAGCATGTTTTAAAACATGTTGTGCTGATTTTTTCAGCAGAAAGACACACAGGCAGGCTTTTTAGGTGCTGAGCAAGCCTCCGGAAGCCTGCTC